GATCACAAATGCAGACATGGTTTTATGTTTATGTGGCGCGATGCAACGCAACACGTACAAAGACAGTATAAGTCATTATAATCCGTAATTATGTCCCCACTGGATGCAACAAATGCCTCGTTTATAATGGGTTTTAATGTTTTTGTCTCGTCGCTCCGGCCGGACAGGGCATCACAATATGGTAAGGGGCGTAACATTTCCGTCACACACTTTAGGTATACGGCCAATCACAACGCACTGGATAGCTGGCCAATCAGAGCACACCTTGCTTTTCAGACTGATGAGCTTTGTAAAAATCGATGTGTTTCAAAAAGGCGAGGCATAGAGGAGAAACAATAATGTACAGTATGTGGAAAATAATGTGTTTTTTGAAATTTAAACCGCATAAACATTTCATTACACCAAACACACAAAACAATGTTCTTTTTAGCAACATCATATGACCCCTTTAACAGTTGGCCATTGTACTGTTGCAGCAATGCAGTAGATGAAGTTGCAAATGCAGGGTTTTCTGGAAAAGATCAGACAAAAACACAAAATTTTATTATTTTTTATTGAAACCTCAGAAACCAAAGAATTATTCAGTATCTGAGTTCAAAACAGATTGATCTGAAAAAAGGAATAATCACATGCTTTTCAGTCATATAATGTGCCCTGTGTTTGATTTTATTTAAATTTAAATTGTACAATTTTGTGCAAGGCTAATTAGTAATACTTTTACATCATCCCACATCAGAGGTTTTTTTTTGTAGCTATAAACTGGACTGAGAGCACTGATATGTACATATGAAAAACTCAAATAGTCTCATAGTTATGTCTCACACTCCATGCTTTTTAGTGTTTTTGTTCCTGTAGACTTGAAAGAATAATGGTGTCCATCTGTGTCTTGATAAATCCTCTAGATTAATAGCAATTCATAGGTGAGTGCAGGTGAATTGCAGTCTGTGTTTTACACTGCAGCAGTACTTGCAGTGTGAAGACCATCTGAAGGGTTCTTTTCATAGATCATCTGTTCCTTTCATGCATAGTCATTCTAAAATGGAGTTGGACAGACACCTGCTGACAAGCAGTCAGGCCTGGGCTTTCAAAACTTGATGTACACACAATAGGTCACAAAAGCAATGCAACTCATAGTGCAACTTAGAACTTTCTTCTTTTACCTTTTTGTACCCGACAAACTTCGTTCTGTAGTTTAACGTGGCCTCAGTGTATTTTGTACAGTGATTGAAAGATTTGCGAAGGAGTACAACCATGTCATATTTTTCTAAACCTTCCTCATGCAATGTAACTCTTACCTCAGCAAGCTAATTCTTTTTCTACTAGCATATTGCTCTCTCTCATTTGTGAATTAGAGTGGGTTAATTGTCTAATTAACTCCTGGCATCACTGAAGTTGTTGTTGAAATATGTTGTTTTATGTGTATTTGTTGAAAATAGTGAATCAAACAGTAAAATGTTACATAATGGTTTATTTTCAACAATTTCATGCATAATACATATATTCTGAAATTCAGTTAAAACATTTTAAAGATCTACATTCTATTCTGCATTTCAGCTGAAGGCAAAACCTTAAGCGAACCTGACTGCTATTATTAGGATAACTTTGAATAATCTTTTTGGATGTCAGTGACATTCAATGTTGTGGTCAAATTTAAAATTCAGATTTTTCTTTAATATGTCTGTATGCTCTACCCATTTGTGTAAGGCCGTAGATAAATATTCTTCAGTTCTCTGGTGTTCTGCTTCTCTCACAAAACCTGTTTCGCATAGTTGAAAATCTCCTAATGAGCTTTTTTGAGAGACGGCACTATGATGTCTTCAAAGAGTGTCTACCCTTTTCCTTTGCTTCTATTTTTTTTTTTTTTTCCTTTTTGAGGGGTAAGATTAGAGAGTGGAGCAACAGCTGGGATGGGAACTAGAAACCAAGTAAATTCTTAATCAGCTCAAGCTAATTCCATTTAACACTGAAAAATACTTACATTTTGCTTGCACCAGAAGGCACAATTTTCTCCAGTTGCTGTTCTGTAGAGAACATGGGTGGAAATATGTGTTCCTTCTTGTGTTTTCTAACTAATTGTTTGTGGGTTCACAATGACGCAGTCCTTCTGTAGTTATTCTGAAAGAGGAATAGAGACTTCAGTGTTGTGTTGACTGACTGAGACAGCTTCTCAACAGAGAGACAGCAGATTTTCCTTCATTATTCATTGACTCAGCATATGGTGGGGATACTTCAAGTCCCTTTCATTCTGACATGCCTCCCATCCACCAAACCACTTATGGCTATCATATTATCACCATAAGAACACACTTAAAAAACATGTTACACACAACACTTGGAACTCTAACTCTGTGGTATGCAAGAAACTAGGTCATTTTACCACTCTCATATACATTTATTTAATTTCATTATGATATTGTAAAAGTCCCCTGCATTTTGTACCTAAGAGGATGTTGTAAAGCAGTAAAAATGTTTGACTTGGGAAATGTGTTTAGCATGAACACTAATGAAGCAGGTAATGTGTGCAAAAGAACGTCTTTGAGACTTTTGTCCCTAACTCGCTAACCACATTGTCAGATAACCTTGGATAGCCTATTATTGTAACAGATCAAATTAGCTCTAGTTTAACTTAAAATGTGCTGTATAGTTCCTTTTTTAATACATTTTCTACACATTAATAAAATATTCAAAATAAAAAAATCTAATTTGAATGTGAAGTGATTTTTTTATGCACCATTGCAAGTTATGTCGCTGAATAAAATCCTGATGAACAGATTTGTTAACATAAACCCTAATATTAACAGGGGTTTATACGACAGTTATCAGCCCCTCAAGTTGTATCCTTCTGCACTTGGATGTTCAACTGTATCGTTCCGCTTGTCTGTGTTTGGGCTCTAGACCAATTGTTTTAGTCTGTGCAATTCTGCTGAGGATATTTCAGGATTTTCACTTTCTGCAAATTACATCGATATACCAGTGGGTAACGACAAGTTTACGAGTGAGTCATTCATTCATTCGCTCAAGCAATTCGTCTAAAACACTGATTCATTCGTGAACAACTGTGCTGCTCGCAGACCAGTAACAGCCTACTTTGAATTCGTTTGGAAGTGACTGGCAATATTACATCTAAAATGTAAGTTAGTCAGTATTAACTTATTGTTTATTGGACTGTAGTGAAGATTAAACGAAGTTTTGCGAAGCACAGAGGCTTACCTTTACCTTAGGGCAGTGGTTCCCAAACTAGGGGGCGCGGCAAGGCTGAGGGATAATGTAGGCTGCAGTCAGCAGATTATTTTGAAAAAGAAACCTCTGCAGGGTGATAAAGACTACACTACACAATTTTCCCCCTTATCATGCGGACACTTGCCTGATAAGTAAATAATTGAATGCAAAATATTAATTTGACATATTTTAATTCCCTCAATATGACTCGATCGCTACTTTATCAGTTGTAGCAGTTGTGGTTGTATCAATAACAGACCACTAGACTGCACAATTGAAGAATGAGTTGTATTGCAGGGAGCCATGTAGAAATATAAATGAACGAGGTTCTGCTCTAAGCTAAGTTACAAGTTTGTGAAAATACTGCCAGTGCCAGGTAAACATAAAGCAGATTATGAATATACTTAAGATTCACAAATAAGAGCGGTGTGATGTGACAAAAAGCAAATAGAACCCAGTGAAGTTCTCTGCTGTGGATGCCATGCTATGCGACATGACAAATCCATGACAGTAAACTGATGCTGTTCTATTTCTGACGGACTCCAGCGCTCTGACACAAAGAACAATTTCAAATATTCATAAGAGAATGGTGAAAAAAAATAGTTTCCTCAAAAATATGAAGCAGCACAACTGTTTTCATCATTAAAATAATCAGAAATGGTTACTGAGCACCAAGTCAGCATATTAGAATGATTTCTGAAGGATCATGTGACACTGGATACATTTACATGCAACCAAATAATTCGCTTGTAATTGGATTGACGGCTCAATCGGACTGAAAAGCCTTCATGTAAACTCCTTAATCAATCCGATTGAGCTCGATCGGATTGAAGGCGGTGGTTTATTCCTTTTCTAATACGATTGAGAGTGCATGTAAACACTCAATCGGATTGAACCCGAAAGGTCTGCGCATGTGCAATGACGTAGAAATAGCGTATGACGTATGATGCGCGGAACGAGCGATTCTTCCTTTTGAATAAAGTGTTGTATAAATGCGTGTCCTGTCATTATAAAACTCTCCTTTCACTCAATTGAGCTCGATCGGAATGAAATTTCGATCAGATTGAAGGGGGTGGTTTATTCCTTTTCTAATACGATTGAGCGTGCATGTAAACACTCGATCGGATTGAACCCCGAAACTGAAAGAACTGCGCATGTGCAATGACGGAGAAATAGCGTAATGACGTATTACGCGCAGAACCAGCGGTTCTTCCTTTTGAATAAAGTGTTGTATAAATGCGTGTCCTGTCATTATAAAACTCTCCTTTCACTCAGCAACTGTGAATTTTAATAATTAAATGTA